TTTTCCTTACTTTCCTCTTTTTCAACTCCCATTCCCTCACCCTTTTCCTCTTCACCTCTCTCCTTTTCCTCCCATCTCTTTTCCACTTCCTCACCCATTTCCTCTTCCTCCTCTCTCTTTTTCTCTTCATCCTCTCTCTTTTCCTTTTCCTCCTCTCTCATTCCTTCTTCCTCCTCTCTCATTTCCTCTTTCTCCTCTCTCTTTTCCTCTTCCTCCTCTCTCATTTCCTCTTTCTCCTCTCTCTTTTCCTCTTCCTCCTCTCTCATTTCCTCCTCCTCACCCATTTCCTCTTCCTCCTCTCTCATTTCCTCTTCCTCACCCATTTCCTCTTCCTCACCTCCCACTTCCTCTTCCTCACCTCCTACTTCCTCTTCCTCACCTCCCACTTCCTCTTCCTCACCTCCCACTTCCTCTTCCTCACCTCCCACTTCCTCTTCCTCGCCTCCCACTTCCTCTTCCTCACCTCCCACTTTCTCTTCCTCTGTCATTTCCTCTTCTTTCCCTCTCTCTTCCTCCCCTCCCACTCCCTCTTCCTCCCTTTTCTCTTCCTTTCCTCTTGCTTCCTCTCCTTCTATCTGCTCCTCTTCCTCCACCCATTTCTCCCCCATCTCCTGAGACTTCTCCCATGATAATGTGTCTCCAGGCAGGCTCTGCTGCGGATTTTCTTCTTCGTGATTTGGATTATATTCCTCCTCTTCATTTTCTGTTTCTACACTTTCTTCCGCATCTGACATCCTTCTGTAGTTTCCTCTAGAACAATTGTAACACAGACTCAGCAAGCTGGCTCTCTGCCTCCCACCCCGGCTCCCTGATAAGTTAACACATTGAAATGCATACAGCAGCTCTGGTCCTTCCTGTGGGAGCTTTTTACTCCCATCGTGCCGTCTTCTCGAGAAAGCCAGCTCGGATCTTAAAAAATCTTTGAAATATCAACTCCCGGGCCTCCCATCTTTCTAGGAATGATCTTAGCATCTTCTAACTCACTTCAGATAATTCATATTCCCATAGGCAGCAAAATGCATAAGGCAGACATTAGCAAAAACCCCCGTGATAGGAATAAGAGAGTGGCATGGGCTGGTGACTGAAGTGTGAGCTTCACAGTCAAAGGTTCTCTCCACACCCACGTCCACCTCCCTTGTTCTGTGACAGGAAGCAAGTCATTTTCCTTCCAAGGTCAAATTTGCTCACAGACAAAAACAAAAACGATAGTACTAAATTCTAGTATGATTTGAAGACTGGGACCACACAGGTCAAAAGCTCAGAACAGATACAGCCAAGACCTTGAAAAAAAAAAAAAAGTAGGGGCAGGTATTAGGGGGATAAAAGCAACTCTACTTTTGCAAAGTACGTAAAAGCTTGAAAGTCTTCTGGGGGTGGATGAGACGCCAAGTCTTACAATCTGAGGTAGACAGACCCCCAAGACTCACATGGTGGAAGGAGAAAACCAACTCCCAAAGGTTGTCATGTGATCTCACCACATACAGCATGTTGTGGTGCCCCTCCCCCAAATAAATATAATTAAAAATTTAATTCTGGCTGGAGAGATGGCTCAGTGGTTAAAAGCTCTGGCTGCTTTTCCAGAGGACCCAGGTTTGAATCCCAACCCCTACACAGGCTCACAACCATATGTAACTCAAGAGCTAGTTCTAGGACAGGCATCAAAAACTACAGAGAAACCTGTCTCGAAAATCCAAAAAGAACAAAGGAAAAAAGAAAAAGCGCTGCTATGAGATCCAGTGTCAACTATGCAAGTGCGCTAGCCGGGACAACTTCTACGCCCAGGCAGTGCCAGGGAGGGTCAGGGACACCCCATGTGTCTATCCTTGAACTAGGTCCAGGCACCACCAGTTCCTCTTTCTGGGGTGCCCTAAGTCCCACAACCCTGCCCTACCTGAGTGGGACCCCCACCCGGGCTGTGCCCTCCACTTTGCACTTACAGGGGCGTCCCCACTTCGTTCCTCAAAATCCCAAGCGGCCCAGCGTCTTCTGTCCACAAACCCTAGTGACGGTTGCCAACCAAGCTCTGTCTCTATGGCAACAGCTACGAACCCCAGGCCGGAAAGGGAGGGAACAGGATAGTGGTCACAGGCCCAGCTAGACAAGCCTGCCCCCTGCCGGCTTCCGGAGGAGCGGTTCACGGTCTTGCTTTTCCTGAGAGAGCCTTCGAAAGAGCTTCATTCAATGCTGGCAGTTCTTTCCCGAAGTTGGACAAAATGAAGTCATGTTTGAAGTTATTTTCTCCAAATTGGGGCATTTTGGCTGGTAGAGGAAACGGGGACATGCTCCAGAAACTCATATAAACAAACAAATAACAACCCTGAAGGGTCAGGAAGTCCTTCCCTAGGTCATCAAAGAAGTTTTTTGTTTTTGTTTTTTTTTTTTAAGGCAGAGACTGGCAGACCGCTGTGAGTTGGGAGGCCAGCCTGGACTACAAGAGCTAGTTCCAGGACAGGTTCCAAAGCTGCAGAGAAACCCTGTCTCGAAAAACTGAAAGAAAAAAAAACAAAAAACAAAACCTGGAGCATCCTCCTGGCAAGGTGTGGCATAACACACCTGCGAACCCAAAACTAGGGGGATGAAGACAGTTCAGTCAGCCTGGGCTACGTAAGACTTTCCTGGAGAAAGGAGACTGTCGAGTGGAGCTGCGTGCCAGCTGTGCATCCATCCGCAGTCTGGTGGGGCTATCACTGTGGTAGGGGGACGCCCCTGTAAGTAAACCCAGCCACCTTGCAGACGGTGTGTGTGTCCACTTCTCACCAGGGCAGGGCATGCAGAGGGATTTAGCTAACTGGGATTGGAGTTATGTGGAATGTATGATCTTCCTGTTATCCCAAAGTTTCTGCAAACCCACCTTGGTTAAATCCATTAGGGTCATTCACATCACAGCCACTCACAGAAGAGCCCAAAGGTGGCTGTCCTGAGCCATCCAAGGAGAGGCCCGCAGGAAACACTCGGCTACTGCCACCTTAGGAAACATGAATGACTCCCACAAGCGCACCGCCAAACCCCAGCACTGGCTGGTGATCACGTGCAGATCTCATGAGGGATGAACTGAACGGTGCAAGCTGTGTTTATTATAGTGCAGGGCTTAGAAAGGCTGGGAAATACTTGGAATCATAGCCTACAATTTAAACAGCAAACACTGGTAAACAGTACGTCTGGCTACAAGCGAGGCATACATAAGGCTGGCTCAAGTAGTTTGGGGAGGCTCAGGTTGAGAATGAGGACACGGCCATACTGACTGCCTCCATCCTGAGCAATCCAACCCAAGGACTCAAGCTCCATCTCAGAACGTGCCAGACCTCAAAACAGCAACTGGGGAAAATGAGTGGGGTACATGGGAAAACAAAGAAAAAGTCACTAGGACTCACCCACACCGATGTTACCCCTTAAAATAAACATGTTCACCTTGGCAACCTCCAGCACACCCTAACTTCTCAAGCTGCCGACTCCATGGCAAGGCCAGGGCTCAATTATAAAAGTCAGGCTGGGCGGTGGTAGTACAGGCCTTTAATCCCAGCACTAGGGAGGCAGAGGCAGGCTCTACATAGCGAGTTCAGAGAAACCCTGTCTTGGAAAAAAAAAGTCCAATCAGGAGCCATCTGCAGGGTCTTTTATTACAGAAGTAAAGGGAGTTTGCTGCTCTCCAGCAGGTCACTGAAGAGGAAGCCATCACCATCCCAGGTAACCTGTGAGGCCTCCTGACCTTTGCTAACCCCTTCCTGGAACTCTGGATATACAGAGCAAATTTCAGAGGATGCATGCATAGAACTCTAGCACCTTCTCTACCCAGGGTAGGTCCGCTCCAAGCAGAGATGCTGGCCAGCTGCTGACGTCAGGGACTGGAAGATGTGTAGCCCCACAGGAGAACGCTTGCACAGAGTATGAGCTCTAGGTTTCGGCTTCCAGCACAAGAATCAACTTGACTGCAGCCCAGGACCAGTTTGCTTTGCCCAACTTTCTTTCCAACTCCTTCTGAGCTTGGTTTGAGGAGCATAAGAAATCCAGGTAGGATGTACAATGGTCACAATTACCACTATAAAACTAGGTTTATTTGAAAAGAGAAAACCTATACAAGGAGCCAGAGTTGGTGGCATACACTCAGGAGACTAAGGTGGGAGAGGTACTGTTTAAGGACAGTACTCATAAAGGGATGCTGACTCCAAACCCCACCCCCACAAGAGGAAATGCCTAGGCAGGGCACACTGCACTTAGGAGTTGGAGGCTTAAGGACTAGAAGTTCAAGACCATCCTGAGCGAATCGGAGGATGGGCTGGAGCTGGGCGGTGGTGGTGCACGCCTTTAATCCCAGCACTCGGGAGGCAGAGGCAGGCGGATCTCTGAATTCAAGACCAGCCTGGTCTACAGAGCTAGTTCCAGGACAGGCTCCAAAGCCACAGAGAAACCCTGTCTCGAAAAAAACCAAAAAAAAAGAAAAGATGGGCTGGGCTACATGAGACCCTGCTTCAAAGAAGGGGGGGCACTTAAGTCCCTGTGGCTCTTAGAGGTGAGGTCCCCGGTAGGTGGAAGACCCCACATCCATAAGTGTGTGGGCAACACGAATTGCACTCAGTATGTTATTTATTAAAAAAAAAAAAAGACATGAAGCTGGGAGTGGACATGAGGGAGATCTGGGAGGGACTGAGGTATAATTAAATAGGAGGGGAAGAGGCTATGTGTAGATATTCTCAAACACTTAAGTAAAAAATATGTATGTAAAAAAAAATATGTATGTATAACAAATATCCCTCAGGGTGGAATCAGGCATGGTGGTGCATACCTCTAACCCCAATACTCAGGATGCAGAGGCAGGAGGATCTCTGTCAGCTCAAGGCTAGAATGGTCTACACAGTGAGTTCCAAGGGAGCCAGAGCTACACAGTGAGACTGTCTCAAATAAGAAAATCAAGTCGGATCATTGCCTGCCAGAATCATTCCAACTCACTGGTTGATGGACAGAACCCCAGACAGGGCCATGGCCTATTTCGCACAAGACTTAGCTAGGCACAAATCACATTTTTAATGCCTCAATCCACAGAGATTACACCGAAGGCCAGAGCAGGTCCTCCACCATGATGCTCCGGCTTTCCCCGCACTCTTCCAGATCCTTACACTTCAAAGATCGAGGAGAATGAGGAAATCCCTACCAGACCCAGAGCAGGGCCCAGTGGTGGCAGCTCTCTTGCAGGTCCCTGGGGACAGTCATCTCTGGAGAGGGATAATGTTGCAGCTGGGAAAGAAAACACAGACACGGATCACGCTTGATGGCTCCATCCAGCAAGACCAACAGCTGAAGCAAGCCTCCTGGGCTGTTCATCAACACTTTTTCTCTTTTTAAAAAAACTCTGTCTTGGGGCTGGAGAGATGGCTCAGTGGTTAAGAGCATTGCCTGCTCTTCCAGGGTTCCTGAGTTCGATTCCCAGCGACCACATGGTGGCTCACAACCATCTGTAATGAGGTCTGGTGCCTCTTCTGGCCTGCAGACATACACACAGACAGAATATTGTATACATAATAAATAAATATTTAAAAAAAACAAAAACAAAAAAAACTTTGTCTTTATTTTTTAATGACTTATTTAGTTTATGCGCATTGGCGTGTTTGCTTGCACCTATGTCTGTATGAGCGTGTTAGATCCCCTGGAACTGGAGTTACAGGTAGCTCTGAGCTGCCATGTGGGTACTGGGAACTGAACCCAGGTCCTCTGAAAGAGCAGTCAATGCTCTTAACTGCTGAGCTATTTTTCCAGCCCAAAACTGTATTTTTCAATTTATTCACTGTGTACGTAAGAGAGTCTGACAGTGTGTGCCACGAACAACTTGCAGCAGTCAGGTTTCTCCTTGGGTGTCAAACTCAGGTCACTGGGCTCGGCAGAAAGTACCTTTACCTGCTGAGCCTTCCCTCCGGCCCTTCTTCTTCCTCTTAAAGATGATGCTCAGGTAATAAGAGAACCAGACTCTTAGGCAACCTGAGGACTCACTGCCCCTTGCCTGCAGCCTCATCAAAGGCTCCATCAATACTGTGCGTGAAGGAATGAAGCAGACCATTACCCCAGCAGTCCTTTTCCTGCCCAGCGTGTTGGCGTCAGTCTGAGCTGGTGTCTCTCCCCTCTGCGGATCACCGTCACATTCAGGGGCTTCTGAAAGGCAAATAAGGTCACTCTGGCCTCAGCGTCCGTAACACTCAAAATGGACTCAAGCTGAAAAGCCACTTCCTGACCTATAAGAAATTACAGAGCATGGGCTCCTAACTGAATTCCTAGCTGGACGGGGTCCTGAAGGTAGCATTAAGGGGCTGAGTGCAACTTAAAAGCACAGTGGTAGGGAGTAGAGTGATGATCTGAGTAAGAATGTCCCCCAGGTTCGCGTGTTTAACTCCTGGGCCCTATTTGGGACCATATTAGGACACAGCCCCAAGTGCTACAACTGCCCCCCAAACCTGCTCTAACTAGTACCAGTGAAATTTCTAAGACAAACTCTCCCCAACTTGGGAGGTACAGCAGCTCCTGCTGTTCCCCAGGAAAAGAAGGCAATTAATTTCCACTGTGAGGCACTCCAAGGCTGGCCTGAGTGGCCGGACACCTGGCCACCTCCCTGCTCCACCCCCTGCCCTTCTCTCCATTCTCCTGGTTCTGAGCTCCAACAACATCCTCTGATTGCTCTGCTCTTCCTGCCCTCTTGGCCTCTGAACCGGCCTGAAGGCTCCTCTGGTGGCCGCCCTACCTGATCAATTACTATACACACCAATGCTCCGTCCTTCAGAACACTCTCCTTCAACCCCAAACTACATCAGGGACCCCACTGCTTTCCTCCAGGCCTCCTGTGCTGCTTTTCTAACACTTGTCAGGGTGAGAAACTGCATGCCTAGGATTAGTGATTAATGTCTGCCCCCATAATGTGCTCTCCATCAACGCCAAGGACCAGGACTGTCTCTTTTTGTTCCCTGCTGGACCCCAGCCCCCAGTCCGAAAGGGGGCACACACAGGGGAGATACTGAGGGAGGAAGAGACACAGGGCTTTGATTTTTACTTTAGACATTTTTGCACAATGTGATTTTGTTTGCAAAGATAAATAGGCATTATATTGATTACTGAGACACAATTTGCATATAATAAAGAATATGGCTCAGTGGGTTTCCTATACTCAGAGAGCTATAGGCCAGCACCATTATCCAACTGCAGAATGTTTGCATCATCCAAAAGACCGTCAGTAGTCAGTCCCCATCCTCGTTCCTCTAGCCCTGGTAACCACCAATCTCCCCTCTATCTCTCTGCATCATGCATCTGCTTTTTAGACAGTTTCACTGAGTGGAATTAGATGGCCTTGTGCTACGTCTTTCACTTTGAATCATGTTTTCAGTATCCATGTTGTAACAAAGAACTCACTACATTCCTATAGCTGAACTAGTTTATTATAAATAGTTATACTTAAAAAACAAACAAAAAACAAACTAGTAGTGTGCCAGTTTTAGTGCTGGCACACACCTTTAATACCACCAGCACTCGGGAGGCTGAGACAGGAGGATTTTTGTGAGTTCAAGGGCAGTCTGCCTGGTCTACATGGCAAGTTTGAGGACAACAAGGGATATGTAGTGAGATTCTGTCTAGGACAAGTTTTTTAAAAAAAAAAAAAAAAGCTACACTATGGTTAACTTCTGTAACATTCTGGAAAATATAAACTTTCAACAGAGCACTGATTAGTGATCGAGTGAAGGGAAGAACTAGTTACCAAGGAAACTGAGTCACTCTGGGGTCCACAGCTCCGCATGTTTACTGTGTTGGTAGTGATGTAATTACATAGAGCTATCGAAACTCCTTGGCCTGAATGCTGGAGAAGCTGGTCTTGCTATAGGAAACTACGCTCTAGAGACAGCCAACAGCACTCTGCTAGGGGATGCACAGGCCTCCTGGAAGGTCCCAAAATAGAAAATGGCCAGGAACTTGTTTGTATAAACATCCTCTTCCAGAATCTAACAGGACATGTTTACAAACACATCTGTAACCAGGCATGGTGGCACACACCTTTGATCCCAGTACTTCCAAGGCAGAGGCTGGAGAATCTCTGAGTTCAAGGCCAGCCCAATTACAGAGTGAGTTCTAGGACAGCCACAGCTACACAGAGAAAGCCTGTCTCGAAAAACAAAACAAAACAAAACAAAAAAAAGAGCTAGGAGAAAAAACTGAGAGCTGGAGGTGAGGGAGAGTGAGCCTGTTTACTCTGTCACAGACCTCTCAGATGGTGACAGGATGAATTTACAGAAACTGGACAAGTGGGCAAGGGCCGAGCAGAGAAGACCTTCTGGGCAGGTTAATAAAACGCCCCAATGTCTTCTCACATGTCTCCCTTCAGCAAGCCCAATTCCCTTCTCCCCAACTGTGGGTCGGACCTAGCAACGCACTCCCTACAGGTAAGGAGACATGACTCTGTGTGTTTTACATGATTGGGTTAAAAAAATAAAGTCCTGTGGCCTCCTCTCAGCTCTCTTCACCTAAGGTAAGAAGCCACACGGTCAGTCTCTGAAGCCTCAGGCCAACCATGGGATGAAGGTGGATTCACAGCCTCATTGAAGCCTTTGGGTGGCTATGGTCTCTGCTGACATCCTGGCTAATCCTCACAGAGAAGCCTCTGGACAAGGACCAGCAGGGCTAGGTGGGGATGGCTAATCTATCCATCTAGAGCAGTGGTTCTCATCATCATCGGAAAACATATGTCTATGTTACAATTCATAAGAGTAGCAAAATTACAGTTACGAAGTACAACGAAAATAATTTCATGGTTGGGGTCACCACAACATGAAGAACTGTATTAAAGGGTCGCAGCGTTAGGAAGGCTGAGAGCCACTGCTCTAGACAGTGTCTGTGGTATTAGCCTACAAAATGGTTTTGCACTCACTCTATAGCACGGTATTTAAAGGAAAGCTGATAGGACAAATGGATTCTTTTAAGCAATTCCAAAAAGGCTCAGAACAAATAGAACACCACCCACATACAAAGATATCTGGTAGTAACAAAGGTGCCGGTGTAAAGCATTAATCATAGCATATGCTACTGGGACAACTACTATCCACTTGGGAAAAGTGGGCTGGCAATGTGTGTCACACTAATTACAAAATAAATTCCAGAAGTATATGTGCCAAAGAAATAAGAACGTACACAAATCAGGAGGGTTAAGATCATCCCAGGCTACACAGTGAGCTCCAGGCCAGCCTGGGGTAGGCTGAGACTGTCTCAGTGGCACTCTCAGATCCAGTAACCCTTCTTTAGGGGTGCCACCTCAGAAAGCATGCACATGGAGCCGGGCAGTGGTGGCGCACGCCTTTAATCCCAGCACTCGGAAGGCAGAGGCAGGTGGATCTCTGTGAGTTCGAGGCCAGCCTGGTCTACAAGAGCTAGTTCCAGGACAGGCTCCAAAGCTACAGAGAAACCCTGTCTCGAGAAGAAAAAAAAAAGAAGAAGAAGGAAGAAGGGAGGAGGAGGAGGAGGAGGGGGAGGAGAAGGAGAAGGAGAAGGAGAAGGAGAAGAAGAAGAAGAAGAAGAAGAAGAAGAAGAAGAAGAAGAAGAAGCAGCGTGCACAGGTACACATGGTCAGGCTAGTGGGAAGCTGGAAACATCCTAGGGTCTTAAGAAGTTAATGACAGACAGGAGGCTCCATTAGCAGCTGCAGGGGAACAGAGCCTGTGCAAAAGCGGAGAGACCTTCCAGAAGAGTTACTGCAAGCAGGCACTGGACACAGACGAGGGATTTAGACAAGGTGACTGGGAAAGAACTCAGCTGGTTAAAGACAAGGGCAGAAAAGGGTAGGAGCACAGACTACTCTTGAGGGACAACACTGTCAGCAGTGAGGAACCCATTAACATTTTCTGGACCAATGTTATGCCCAGTGCTATGAGTTGAATGTTTGTCTCCCTCCAGAAATGCATATGCTGGGAGCCTAACCCCCGGTGTGATGGAGCAGGAAACTGGGCTTCAGCAGGAGGTCATCTAGAGGGGGTGGAGCCCCAGTGATGGAATTCATAGTCCATCCACAGCAGACCCTCAATCTGCAGTACGCTCCTCTTGGACTTCCCTCCCCCCCCCCAACTGAGCAACATGCCCCTGCAATTTGCGAAGCACCCAGATGCCAGGCCACCCCTAACTCACCCCCTCACTATGCTGTACCACGCTGCCAACGTTCTGCAGCGACTGGAAGTTCTGGGTGTTCACAGATCCAAACTCCACAATTTCATCATCCACTTGCAGGCCCTAGAGACAGGAGAAGATTAAAAATCAACCAAGAGGCCGAATGTGTTTCTGGTCATTTTTACTGCTCAACACACAACTCAGTGACAAGGTCAAGAGCTCACTTCCTACAGGGGAAGAAAAGCAAGCTCAAAGCAAAGAGGTCAAAGGTTTAGACTCCTCATACAGGAAGGGGAGTGGGTGAGTGGACCACCTCATCCTGGAGGTTTCTTCTAAGGCAGTTCTAGCAAATGGTGTCCAGGGTGCCCAGTGGAGGCCTTGAGGACAACAGGAAAAGCACAAGCTGCCTTCTGGAGTTTCTGAGCCAGGTTCCAGGGCAAGAAGAGACAGGCTAACGTAGGCATATTTTTTAGACAAGACAAGCATTTGCGCTAGATGTCCCTAAACAGCAGGCACAGGGACGAGGCCAGCCAGACCCAGGGCAGCCCTTTGATTTCAGATCCCAAGATTATCGACATCCACTTGCCCATCCCTTTCACAGACACCTGCCAGTCTGGCTGCAGCTAGGCACGCAATGCTGCAGAAGCAGCTGGGACTGAAACAGAGCTGGCTGCAGCCTGCAATCTGGGGACTTGATTTGATTTTGCTGTTAAGTTGTCTACAGCACTAGGGACACAACCTAGGCAAGAGTTCTATTCGCAGTCTTCGTTCACTTTTAATTTCAAAACAGGATTTTCCTAAGTTGCCCAAACCTGTGACGATCCGTCCTCGGCTGCCTGAGAGGTAAGGATTATAAACGTATGTCACCATACCCAGCAGTCTTGTGACCCTTTTTTTTTTTTTTTAAGTTTTTTGTTGTTGTTGTTATTTAACGTGTACGGGTGTTTTGCCTACTTGTATGTTTGTACACCAGTTATGTGCCAGGTGCCCATGGAGGCCGGAAGAGGGCACCGATCTCCTAGAACTAGAGTACAGATGGGTGCAAACTTCCGTGTGAGTGCTGATGATTGAACCTGGGTCCTCTGGAAGAGCAGCCAGTGATTTTAACCACTGAGCCACCCCTCCAGCCAGAGTCATGAGGGTTTAATGGTCATAAGATGACTTGTAGGATCTGGATTCAGATTCTAATTCTGCTTCCCAGGAGCTGTGTGTCCTGGCTCAGGATGCTTCAAGTTTGTGTGGCTTTTCTTCACAGGTCAAATATGGAGAACAGTACTACTATCCCAGAGGTTGGCAACAGTATTCAATTTAAACACACGCCCACATACAAACTTCTACATGGACATTCACGGCGGCATTATTCGTGACAGCCCCAAAGTAGAAGTGATCCAAACACACATTAGCTGACAAATGGACAAACAAGTCACATCTATCACACAATGGGATATTATTTGGCCATAAAATGTTATGAAGCCCAGATATATGACTGAGCCCTGAATAAACCCTGAACACAGGACTGAGTAAAAGAAAGCAAACACAAAAATCCACCTGCCATAGGACTGCCTTCCCATGAAGTGTACAGAACAGGCAGATCTGTCCAGACAAGAAGACTGGCGGTTGCCAAGTTCCGAGTGACTTGTCTGGGACCACAGGGCTTCATTTTAGGAACTATGAAAATAGTAGGAGCTGGGCAGTGGTGGCGCACGCCTTTAATCCCAGCACTCAGGAAGTAGAGGCAGGCGGATCTCTGTGAGTTCGAGGCCAGCCTGGTCTACAGAGCTAGTTCCAGCAAAAAACAAAAGAAAAGAAAACAGTCAGAAACTGGCTGCAGTGTTGGACACACAGCTCTAAGCTACTCTTCCTTTACTAAGCACAGCCACTCAGTAATGCTGCAAAGATGTCTCCTCAGAACCTATTGAGGAAGAATTCATTTCAAGCTCTTCTCGTTCTTTTTTTTCTTCAGTGTCCAGGGAAAATGGTTCCTCTCTTCTTTGAGATGTGGACTGCCTTCTACACTGTGTCCCAGCTACCCCACAACAGGTCTCCCTGAGTACAGTGCGCTGACCCTATGTACACCAAGCTCTGGCCAGCACGTGTTAAAGGGATAGAGGAATTCAGAGCCACAGAATGAGAGACTGGGCTGGGCTTCTGGCAAGTCTAACTCATAGCACTCCTAGAGGTGGGGTTGGGGAGCAAGCAGGATTACCGCAATACTGGCTGGGGAGCCGGGACTGATACTGTTCACTTTGGCGAAGGCCTGGGGTAGGGTGGGGTTGTTGGAGCCCAGCCTGCGGCTCATGGCCTCTTCTTGGGCTTCAGCCATGTCCCGGGCCTGCTTCTCCTTGTCCCGAGCATGTAGCTGGTGCAGGGCCTCCTCCACCTGCTTCATCACAGCCTTGTGATCATTCTGTAGACCTGGGAAGAGAACAGCATGTCAGAGGAAAGAGACAATAGCTCAGGACACAGGACAGACGACACAAGACACCTGAATTTGCTCACTGTGCTGCTGTATCTTGCCAACATCTTTTCTGAGAAACACCCAAGAAAAGTCTCTGGAAGTGTCTTTAAGGGCATTTCCAGAGAAGTTTAACTGCAGAAGGAAGACAGTCCTGAATGCAGGCAGCACCATCCCATGAGACTGAGGACCAGTACTCAACGTTCTGCCCCTGAGGCAGGCACACTGGACCTGGTACCTGAAACTCTCCACCAGGATGGACGCACCTGCAACTGTCAGCCAGAACAAGCTCTTCCTTCTGAAGTTTCTTTTACCAGGGATTTTGTCACAGCAACCAACAAAGTAACAACATAGCAGAATGTTGAACGAGTGTTCATTAGATGCCAGAGTCCAGACTCAGGGCAGACCTAGCCTCATCTAGCGAGCTGTCTAGTGAAGAACACAACAGTGATGATCGAGTAAGTTAGGGATCAAGAGGGCCCCTCAAAAGCAGCATAGCCTGCTGAGCCCTGAAATGTGAGGACAAATTGGGTACATCCAGTTGTAACCATGCCATAAACAGGGACAATGGCAGAAGTCAGACAGAAGTGAGGTGGCAGCGGGGCAGGATGCAACGTCTGCAATCCCAACGCCTGGAGACAGAGGCAGGAGGATCAGGAGGCCAGAGTAGGGTGCATGACACCCTATCTCAAGAAAACAAATCAAAACAGTGAGGCTGAACAGCTGCTAAGAGGGGCGGGGGTGGAGCTCCACTGTCAGAGTGTCTGTGAGCACCCATGAGACCCTGGGGTTCGAGTCCCAGCACAGCATCTCCCAGGCGTGGTGGTACAAGCCTGCAATCCTAGCACTCAGGAACTCAGGAGGTGGAAACAGAAGGATCAAAATTTCAAGGCCATGCTCAGCTAAATATTGAGGTTAAGGCTAGCCTGAGGTACGTAAGAACTTGTCTCAAACAAGTAAAGCAACTTTCTCTTTATTTGTGTACTTTATGTTTATGGGTGCTTTGTCTGTATGTATATTTGCACACCAGAAGAAAGCATTGGATCCCCTGCAACTACAGTTATAGATGGTTGCAAACTACCATATGGGTGTTGGGAATAGAACTCAGGACCTCTAGAAGAGCAAACGGTACTCTTAACTACTGAGCTATCCCTTCAGCCTCTTCTCTGAAATCTTGTACAGGAAAAAAAAAGACATAAGACCCTAATAATTCAGTGTGGGGTAGGCAACTACTACCGGGCTCCTGCCAACTGACATGGCTCAAGAGACAAATCCAGTGCTGCCAAAGTTTTGATTTTCTAGAAAGGTCAAAAACTGAGGGCTTTGACAGGAGAACAGCCTCTAATTTTTGAGTGTTAAACACTAGTTCATAACATTTAACCAGGGGCTGGAGAGATGGACCAGCAGTTAGAAGGACAGCTGCTCTTTCAAAGGACCCAGGTCCAATGCCAGCACCACATAGATGCTCACAACCTTCTGTAACTCTGGTCCCAGGGCATCTACTGCACTCTTCTGGCCTTTGCAGGCACTGGGAACACATGCTATAGGCAGCATGCAGAACAAGCATACATATAAATAAACAGTGAAACTAAATGAAGAACCACCATGCCGTCCATCAGGGCCTGCCTGTAAGCCAGTCCTGCATGCACTGCCATCTCAAAGACAGCCTGGCACTGTCATTCCGTTTGCCAGCCCACACCTGGCATCCAGGAGTCACAGACTCTCCATCTCTGCAGGAGCTTTGACCGTGGGCTGTTTGTTTACCTAACCTGGTTTGTCACTGTAGAGCAAAGATGAGGCATTACAGGACTTGGGGGCTAAGCCCACAGAAACAAATGTGAGGGGAAAAAAACAAACTAGACTCCAGATGAGGAAGGTTTAAAGCAAGAGTCAGTGTCATAGAGGTCACCACGACTAGAAAAGCCACACTGAGCAGGAAAGGCCACGGGGAGCCCCAGAACCTCCAGAATCGCCTGCATAATCTATATCCACCACGCAGTTGTGCGGGAGAGGAGGAATGGCTTGGTCGCTAACACATTACAGCTCCACTTCAGGATTCAAAAGGCTTTCATCTCCTGGGTAAATGTTTCTGCAGCAATTATTTCAAAACCAAGTTAAGCTGTCATAAATGTGCCATGCTCACACTCGCTGGTGACTAGAGGAAACTGGGGACAGAGCGTATGAGACCTCTCTGCATTATTTTCCCAATTTCAATGTAAGCCTAGGACTAGTCCTTAAGAAAAGTCCCTGTTTAAGAGTACAATAACACGTGAGAATAGTTTCTCAAAAGAATACTAAAAAGAGGGAATTGTTCAACCATGTTCTTAACACATAATAAAGTCATTAAGATGGTATAAAATTACCACAGAAAGTAGAACAGTGTAAAAAGTCCAGAAATAGGCTAAGCCTAACTGAAAACCTACGCTGGGATTGGGGTGTAGTTCAATGGTACAGTAAGTACTCAGCATGAGGTCCTATGTTCCACCCCCAGCAAAGCAGAGGCACAAGAGTGCGTGGGCGCGTGCACGCGCGCGCGCGCGCGCGCGCGCACACACACACACACACACACACACACACTGATGCATTTCAAGTTAATGGGAAAAGAATGGTGTTAAAACATGAAGTTAATTATTTGAATAAAAATCTGCATTTCTCAAACTTCCCCAAGGTCCTGCTAATAGTGTGGAAGAGAGTGGGCCACATCACTGGGGCTTAGAGGTCTAGAGTAAAGCCCAGAATTTGCCTCACACCTGGCTGTCTTAGGGTGGCTTTCCTGTTCTCGGCATTTCCTGTTGTTTTAATGTAAACTGAGCCTTCTTGAAACCAGAATATTCAGGGTAAAGAGGATGCTCTGAGGTGCTCAATCATCACACTGTGGCTTTAAGAAACCTTGCATCTTACTCTGCATCCTATTTTTATGAAGAAAGCCTCATTACCAAAACACTCTGCAGATGAAGCCAGAGCTGGGGTACATTCAATGGAAATGATTAAGTGCAAATGGCGGGTGATTAATCTCCTGGTGTAACTGGGATGGAGGACTGGTTATCTACCAGTGCCAAGAAAAAGATGCTCACATCCTCATCTCCAAAGCCGGGGCACACGTGACCTCATGAAACAAAACAGAGCGCACAGGTCAGGTATAATTAAGGATCTTGAGAGGACGGTTGAGCCAGGAGGGCCTGATATCATCCCAAGGTCTCAATTAGTTAACGAGGGAGACAGGAGGACCACAGAAAAAGACGAGATAACAGACCAAAGGCTAGAAAGATATGATCACTACTTCTAAAGACAGAGGATGGCCAAGAGCCAAGAGACACAGGTGGCCTCAGGAAAGACAAAAAATACACCCTGCCCCCAGTCTAGGGGGAGCCAGCCCTGCTGACACCTTGATTTTGTCAGTGAGGCTATCTGGACGTCTCACCTCCAGAGCAGTCAGAGATAACATGTGTCTGTAGCCTGTCAGGGCAGAAACACAAGCCTAAAACCCTCTCCAGGCACCACGCTCTGCTAGCTTCTTCATTAAAACCAACAAGCACATAGGAGACTCACTTAGGACAGTGCGGGCCACAGTGGACTAGTCTGCCCAGCTTTCCTGGCAGGCAGGGGGACTGTGAGAGAAAAATGTTAATTGACACAAAGAGTTGAGGGTAGGGTGCCAAGACCCTCCCTTCTGTCACCTGCCTCCTGGCTGGAACACAGCCTGTGGGTCCTGAAGAAGAGGCAGAGACTGATTTCTGCTGACTCTTGTACTGCATGCATACTTCAAGGGTCGCCACTGAGCGCCAGTCCAGGTCTTTTCTGTTTGAATGGTGGGAGTCAGGTCACTACCCTAAGAAGCTGAATCTAATCTCCTTCATGGATTTGATGGAGCTGGTAAGCAATACTGGTATGGGCTTCCACTGTTAATTCAATAAACTTCCCATAAGGAAGGAAAGTTCCGTTCCTTGCTTTTTGCTTTCTTGTACAGCCCAGACTGGCCTCAACTCCTGATCATTACAGCTGGGCACCACCTCGTCCAGCCTGAACCAAGGTTTTGATTTTTGTATTTTGGGTTTGTTTGTTTGTTTGTTTTAGACAGGGTCTCTCTACAAATTGCTGTCATGGAACTAGCTCCGTAGGCCAGACTGGCCTTGATGTCACAGAGATCTGCCTGTTTCTGCCTCCTGAGTGCTGGGATTAAAGATGTGCGCCACCACACCAGGCTTTGAAGGAAAGTACTTAAAATAGAAAACTAAAACCATTTACATGGGACTCTTCAGTTCTCAGTCACGGAAGGGTAACAAGATATTTTGTCACAGCAGAAAAACTTCGTAATGCTCAACACTAGTCATTCCCCTGCGTCTTCAGCACCCCCAGCACAGGCTGAGCCAGAGCCCCAGCAAGGGTCACTCACAGATGATGTTGTGCCGTGCTGTTCGGACCTGGTACAAGTCCACATCCGCCCGGGGATAGCCTTCACAGTCCACCAGCGGCTCGTTCATCCCAATTCCTTTTTGCTGGAGAAAAGACATGTAGTTAAACAGGTAAGAACATCGTTAGGCAATTACCTAGTCCCTTGTCCTTCTAACTCATGACAAAAGTGACAGTAAGGGCCGCACAGTAATCTCTTTAGCACACACCAGGCTCTTTAGCTGTGTCCTTGCAGCTACCCTCTGCAGTGGGTACCAATGAAAACAGGGAGGCAATAAAGATGAGCCAGTGAATAAAGATCTGCCATCAAGATGAACAATGAGTTCAGTTCCTGGGCCCACATAGAGGCAGAAGAGGAACACAAATCCCACAAAGTTGTCCTCTGACCTCCACACACTCTGTCACCAGAGCCCCTCACACAGTACACACATTTATAAAATGAAGTCTCTAAAATCATAAAGCAAGCGATGCATGAGAACAGTGCACACAGAGCGAAGATCCCAGGGCTGGACTGCAGCTCAGAGCACAGCACCTGACTGGTATATGCAAGACCTTAGATTTGATTCTCTGCAGTATAAAAAATTAATAAACGGGGCTGGGGCTATAAGATGTAGCTCAGTTGCTATAGTGCTTGCCTAGCATGCATAAAACCCTGGTCTCCACCCCCAGCATTGCATAAGCCACTGTGGTGGTGAATGACGGGGAGGCAGGAGGATCAGAAGTCTGAGGTCATCCTTGGTTAGACAGTATGTTCAGTATCAGCCTGGGATACATTAGATCTCTCCAAAACCAATTATTTAAAGTTACAACAAAACACTCAAAGAGCCTTCAGAGGTTCCCTCCCAGTCCCATCCCTGGCCTGACCCCTCCTACTCCTCCCTCCCAGCAGCTGACACCTTGCTGAAGCCTTGAAACAGGAGGGAGTAAACATTAAAGAAATCAAGCTGGGGCCAGGTTTGGACTCTTCAAAAAATAAATACATAAATAAAAAGAAGAGGCCTACCAAGATTCTTTTCATCACTGGATGGTACTGGTCACCACCAGACAAAGAAACTAAGTGGCTGGGAATTAGGGAAAGGGGAGAGCTTTTGCATTTGATATCCATTAGAGGTTCTGAATCTGAACATTGGGAATATATTCCCTATTCAAAACAATCCATCCATGTTACCGCTTTCTAGTCAGCTGCACTGTGTTGACTCGGGCTGTTCTCAGTTCTCTAGACTCACCGCTGGAACAGAGGCTCTGCTATTTTCTCTAGTGTTTATCTGAAGTACACTCTCACACTATAGCTCAAGTTGACCTCATACTCACAGCAATCCTCCTGCTTCAGCCTCTCAAGTACTGGGATTACAGGCCTGAGTCACCACACCTGAAGTTTGTTCTGAAGTTCCCACATCAATCAGGGCACAGAGCATGCTTTGCACTGAGGTGGGCAGGAGCTGCCCAGCTGCCTAGACTTGGAGCTCAATCCCAGTTCTGTTATACACAAGCTGGGCATCTTTATCTAAGACACATTCCAAGGCTCAGTTCCTCAGCCGCACACCAGGAACACAACACTCCCCCGCTGAAAGACTAACACACAGACTTGAATGAACGCCTAGCAGAGAGCCAGGCCATGCAATATGGTGACTGAATAGCAGCTCCCAAATATGTCCACATCCTGCTTCCCAGAACCACTGTGACTTTGTGAGGAAGGATGGGATCAAGCCAAGGATCTCAAGGTAAGCAGAGACAGGAGGATTGTGCCAGTTCTCTTCAGTTCTCCAGCACTCAAGGACAATACTCCCATTTGGGGCTAGTTGTTACAACAAGTCTAGGCTCCAGGCTAATCTGGGATTAAAACAGTTGTAATACAACAGAATTCATATACACATAGCAGAACCACTGAAAATATACAAGCCCATGGTTTGCAATATGTTCAAGAGTTAATCACCCACCACCACAATCAGTTTTAGTACATTTGCATCAACACCCTCCTAAAAAAGAAAAAAAACCAAACAACCTTGGACAGCCCACTCCTACAATCCCAGCATTCAGGAGGCTGAGGCAGAAGGATATGCAATTCAAAACCAACTTGACACTGGGCGGTGATGGTGCACGCCTTTAATCTCAGCACTCGGGAGGCAGAGGCAGGCAGATCTCTGTGATTTCAAGACCAGCCTGGTCTACAAGAACTAGTTCCAGAACAGGCTTCAAAGCTACAGAGAAACCCTGTCTCGAAAAAACAAAAACAAACAAACAAAAAAAAACAACCTGACTACAAACCAAGACCTTATCTCGAAAAAAGAAAGAAAAGAAAAAGAAAAAGGGGTTTTCTTAAAGACACGGGAGGGGCACGTAGAGACAGCATGACCAACCTCCTTTAGACCCACGAGCAGACACTTGCATCCTCCCCCTCCCAAACCTCTGCAACCACTAAACGACTGCACTGGAGAGAGAGGATTGGAGACTCTAGAAAAATGTCTGAGACTTATAATCAACATAGGGAGAAGGTTTATTTGAGCTCAGTTTTCAAGTTTCAGTACAGAACGGGACAGTCACATAGTATATATGTATGTAGTATGTATGTATGTATGTATGTATGTATGTTATTTTTGGACACTCATTGTTTTTAGCTTTATGCACAGACAGAACATCCACATGGAGGAAACCACTTCCATCATCCTGGGAGCAAAAAACAGAAAGGACTGTGGCTCCACTACCTCTGCATGCTTCCAATGATCAACAGTAACTACCCCAGCAAGGACACACCTCCAATGATCAACAGTAACTACCCCAGCAAGGACACACCTCCAATGATCAACAGTAACTACCCCAGCAAGGACACACCTCCAATGATCAACAGTAACTACCCCAGCAAGGACACACCTCCAATGATCAACAGTAACTACCCCAGCAAGGACACACCTCCAATGATCAACAATAACTACTCCAGCAAGGACACACCTCCAATGACCAACAGTAACTACCCCAGCAAGGACACACCTCCAATGATCAACAGTAACTACCCCAGCAAGGACACACCTCCAATGATCAACAGTAACTACCCCAGCAAGGACACACCTCCAATGATCAACAGTAACTACCCCAGCAAGGACACACCTCCAATGATCAACAGTAACTACCCCAGCAAGGACACACCTCCAATGATCAACAGTAACTACCCCAGCAAGGACACACCTCCAATGATCAACAGTAACTACCCCAGCAAGGACACACCTCCAATGATCAGCAGTAACTACCCCAGCAAGGACACACCTCCAATGATCAACAGTAACTACCCCAGCAAGGACACACCTCCAATAATCAACAGTAACTACCCCAGCAAGGACACACCTCCAAGGACCTATGGTAACTACCCCAGCAAGGACACACTTCCAATGACCTACAGTAACTACCCCAGCAAGAGAACAGCTCCAATTTTCAATAGTAACTACCTCTGCAAGTACACACCTCCAATGACCCACAGTAACTACCCCAGCAAGGACACACCTCCAATGACCCACAGTAACTACCCCACCAAAGGCATGCCTCCTAAGACCTACAGAGCTCCATCTCTTAAAGGTTCCACCATGCCTCAAGAGCATCACCCTGGACACCAAACTTTTAATATTCAGGTCTTCAGGGCAGACTTCAGAGATTCAGAACAGGACATTTCATATACATAGAACCACACTCACACACTCTTATAAGCCCAACATGTGGCAAGCCAAAACAGGAAAATTACAAAATTACAGAGTGAGTTCAAGCCTAGTCTGGATTCTTACCCAGATGTGTATCAAATAAACAAGCAGGTGTAGTGGTGCTGACGTATAATCTCAGCACTCAGGAGGCTTAAGCAGGAAGATTGCCAAGAGTTCAAGGTTAGCCTGGGCTATATAGTAAGTAAAGGGAACTAGCCAGAAGCACACAGTAAGATGTGAAAGAGAGAAGACATACAATTCATGGTGTTTTGTGTTCTTTATCACAATGTTTTTGAGGCTCATTTACATTATAGCATGACTATTACTAATTATAGTATGATTAATTCACTATTCCTTTTATTATTCCAAATAATAGCCCACCATATGGGTAGACTATATCTGTTACCTGAAGAATAACTGTGTCATTTTCCACTTCTTGGATATTTTAAACAATGTGCATGAATTTTGGGAGGAATATATATTTGCAACTATCATAATTATCACATTGGAGGAATGGGGTTTTTTTGGGTTATATAACTGTTTAATTTTTTTTTTTGAGAAACTGCTAAACAATTTTGGACAGCGGTTACACCATCTTACAGTTGTATAAAGTTTCCTATTTCTCCGTGTTCCCCCTAAGATATTACCTACATTTTCATTATACCCATCCCTAGCTAGTATAAAGTAGTATCTCGCTATGATTACTTTCCTTAATAGCTATACTTAGCATGTCTCGCTTTTAAGATTTATTTTGTGTATGAGTGTTTTGCCTCTATGTATGCATGCGAACCATGTGCATACAGTGACCACAATGGTCAGAAGAGGCATCAGGTCCCTGAAAGAGGAGTCAGAACTGGTTTTAAGTTACCATAAGGGTGCCGGAAACTGACTCCAGGCCCTCTAAAAGAGCAGCCAAAGCTCTTGATCAGTAAGTTGTCTCCAGGGCCTGTTCCAGATGCGTTATGTGCTTATTTATCAACCATACATATTTTATTTGAGGAATGTCCATTTATATCCTATGTCTTTTGCTAACTTTTTTATTTACTTGTGTATTTATTGCTGCTTTTACTATATCCCAGGCATTAGCTTCTTATTGGATGATCTGCAACCACTGTCTCCCTCTCTTTTCACATTCGTGACTAAGTACTATGAAATGCAAGATTTTATGTATTTTTTTTTAATGAGTGACCTGTCTGCATGCATGCCTGCAGGCCAGACGAGGGCATCAGATCCCATTACAGATGGTTGTGAACCACCATGTGGTTGCTGGGAATTGAACTTAGGACCTCTGGAAGAGCAGTCAATGTGTTCTTAACCACTGAGTCATTTCTCCAGCCCCAAAATGAAAGGTTTTAATACTTGTATCATTTTCCTTTCTCTTTACCTTACTTTTCCTTTCTCTCTCTCTCTCTCTCTCTCTCTCTCTCTCGGCAGGGTCTTACTACACAGCCTAGGCTTCCTACCAAGAGCCTGTTTCAAAAAAAAAAAACAAACAAAAAATCAGAGCAGATATTTATGCTAAAAGCCCTCAGCAATCATACAATAAATTAAAGGCAATTAACACACACTATCGCCTTTTATTTAAGAGAAACTAGCAAATAGCCTCAGATTCCATGTGCAATGTAATTATAAATTTCCCTCTTATTTGGTTTTTATCGCATGTGCATGTGTATGAATGCAGGTGCACCCGTGTGTGCACATACACATGTGCAGGTCAGAGGACAAGCTCGGGGACATCCTCAGGAACATCATCTACCTCCTTTGAGATAGGGTGTCTCACTGGCCTAGAACTCATCAATCAGGCTAGACTGGCTGTCCAGAAACCCCGGCGATCTTCCTGTCTCCGCCTCTCCAGTTGGGATTACGAACATGAACAACTATACCCATGGATTCTAGGGACTGAACTCAGGTCTTCAGGCTTTTGAGGGATGCACTTTACAAACAGAGCTATATCTCCAGTATCTCCCCTCCCCCACCCCACTGCTGTTAAGACGGGATCTTGCTATTTCACTACATAGCCCTGGAACTCTGTGTAGACCACACTGGCCATGAACATGGGACAATCTCCCAGCCTTTGCCTCCTAAGTACTGAGATTGCAAGTATACATCACCACATCCGGCTAAATGGTAAACAGGAGGCCAATACCAAAGAATAATAATACATGAGATGTTTGATTCTACTTGACTGAAACCCACTTGTGATTTTAAGCAAATGACTTCTCCTTTCATATGTATAAATATTTATATGAATACACACACATTTTTAAAAAGTGATTGTGTTTGTTAACATGTCTGTTTAAATGTACCCACGAGGGTATAGAGTTAGAGGTGTCTGTGGGACATGTGGACTGTTACATAGTAGGGGCTAGATCTGATCTCCAGTCATGATTGTGCAGCCAGCGCTTGTAACCACTGCACTCTCTCTCCAGCCCCTGATTTCGCCTCTTTGAGCTTCAGGGGCACACACCAACTGAGCGGAGTAGCTGTGACAGTTTCCTGATAGCACACACAGTCAGTACGGTTCGGGCGTCGGGTCAGCACCTGGTAAGACGGTACCTAGTGGTACTGCTGTGGACTATCAGCTAAGCTGTGTCACGTTGTTTAGGCTGTGGAACATCTGTTTAATATGCAGAGATGTGTTGCTTTCTTTTATGTTCCATTTGTTTTCCCCTGTGAAGCTGTGTTACGTTGCCTGCCTAAAACACCTGATTGGTCTAATAAAGAGCTGAACAGCTTATAACAGAAGAGGGATAGGCAGGGCTGCAAGGCAGAGAGAATAAACAAGAGGAGGGAGAAAAGGAGAAGGAGAGGAGGATGCCAGGGGCCAGCCACCCAGCCAGTCTCAGAGGAAGATGGAAAGAAAAATATATAAAGAAAGGTAAAAAGCCCAGAAGCAAAAAGTAGTTAAAGAGAAACGAGATAATTTAAGTTAGAAAAGCTGGCTAGCAACAAGCCAGGCTAAGGCTGGGCATTCATAAGTAAGAATAAGACCCCATGTATTTATTTGGAAGCTGGGTGGCAGACCTCCAAAGAGACAAAAGAAAAAAAAAACTACATTTAACTAATATCCACAACATGGCACCTCCACGTGAAACATCATCCTCTTAGTCCCTTCTACCCAGCCTATCCGGGTTTGATTTTGTCTCCCCTTCCTCTACAAAGTGACTTGTGATTTTTTTTTTTAAGATTTATTTATGTATTATTTATATAGTGTTCTGCCTGCATGTATACCTGCAAGCCAGAAGAGGGCACCAGATCTCATTACAGATTGTTGTAAGCCGTCATGTGGTTGCTGGGAATTGAACTCAGGACCTCTGGAAGAGCAGCCAGTGCTCTTAACCTCTGAGCCATCTCTTCAGACCGTGACTTGTGATTTTAAGAGAAAAAAAAAAATGTCTGCTTTGGAGGAAGACAAATCATAGAACCTGACCCACCACTGCCACTTCCTAACCTGGCAAGCATTTGCTCCACTTTTTTTTTTTTTGCCTCAGTTTCCCCCTTTTACAGTAAGGATAATGGGCTTTACCTGACACTCAAAGCAGTCCTCTGTAGCGCTGCCAGGAGTTTTCCTGAAATGCTGAGTCTGTTCCCCACTCCAATTAGAAACTGCATTTTATTTTATTTAATTTTTGAGACTGAGTCCAATATAGCCCAGGCTGGCCTCGAGCTAACTATGTGGTAAAGGATAGCCCTGAACTCCAGATCCTCCTGCCTCCACCTTCCAAGTGCTGGGATTAAAGGTAAGGCTGCCTCTCCTGGCTATAGCCTAGTCTACCTTTTAAAAGAGGCCCAGTTAATTCTCACTGATGACTGAAAAGCGGGTGGCAAGGCACGCCAAACCTGGGAACGTGACCCATGGACGGTGACGGCGGTGACTATCATACGCCTCAGTAAATATTCTATCTTTGTGACCATGAAGTTTAACTAATGCTTCAGGCCTGTCATGATGACTCCGACCTGTAACTCCTGCACTTGGAAAGCTGAAGCAAGCTCAGGAGTTCGAGGCCAGCTTGGGCTGCATTTAAAAACAAAGTTAAATGCTTCCGCAAATGAAAATAAGTCCCACGTCAAGGGGTTGTTAAGGGGTAACGGATGGAAAGCGCTTAGTTAGTGCTTGGCAGGCACCCCTGGGCCTCGCGTCCGAAAGCCTCGCCCTCCTCTCTGCCCGGAGCCCTAGCCACACTCACGCTTTCCAGGACGTCGTAATTAGCTTTAATCTGCGCCTCGATCTCCTCCTTGCGGCGCATCAGCTCCTGGATGTCACTGACGGCGGCCGCACGGGCCTCGGAGGACTCTGCCTTTCGCGGGGCTTCCTCACCAGACATCGCGGACCACAACCCGCGGCGCCGGACGCTCGGTTTCCCGGCTACGGACGCCGGCAGAGACGGCGACTACAGATCCCTCGAAGGCCCAAAATACCCAGGCAGCGCTGGCGCGCCGGGAAACGCAGAGGGTGAAGCTTTGATCACCGGAAGCCCCAGCTAGATACACCACGTGGTTTTCCGATGACTAGGCAGGCACGAGTGGAGGCACGGACAGCCTAGCCCTTTCATACTCTCACTTCCCAGCTGATTTTCTTTCTTTCTTTTTCCTTTTCCTTCCTTTCTTCATCTCTCCCTGCCTCCCTCCCTCCTTCCTTCCTTCTTTTCTTTTTCTTCTTCTTTTTTTTTTTTTTTTTTTTTTTTTTGAGACAGGGTTTCACTGAGTAAACAGCTCTGGCTGCCCTGGAACTCACTTTGTAGACCAGGCTGACCTCATACTCACAGAGATCCGCCTGCCTCTGCTTCCCAAATGCTGGGATAAAAGGCATGCGCCATTACCACCCTACCTTTTTCTTTTCTTTCTTTCATTTTTTTTTTTCAAGACAGGGCTTCTCTGTGTAGCCCTGGATGTCCTGGAACTCACTCTGTAGAAGCTAGCCTCAAACTGGGCCATTCCCCTGCCTCTGCCACCATGTCCAGGACATCCAGCATCACTGTGACACTGTGCTATCAGCTGGATGAATGAGAGGGTCCTGTCCCACTGTCCAACTCAGTTCTTCACACAGGCAAAGCCCTTGAGCATTTAAAAAACTGCTTTTAGGCGTTTTGGGTTTTTTCAGACAGGGTTGCCTATATCAAACTCATGTAGATGAAGGTGATCTCGGAACTTTTTTCAAGTTTTTTAGAATATTCGACAATTCTCTGCATGCAAAGAGTCGTATGTCTTGATCCACCATCAGCACCCCTCCCATTCTGCCTGGGCCCATTCACTTCACACCTTCAAATCCTCATTTGTTTTCCCTTTTTTAAACAACCTACTAAGTATAATGGCCTGTAGTTGTGATTTTTCTTTGGGGCCCCAATCAGCTCTCAAAGAAAGACGTGGAGATTTCTTACCAATTATGAATGTTTGCCCTTTGCTTACTTAGGCTTGTCCCACTGGCTCTTTTAACATAATCCGTTTCTATCCATTTACCTTTTGCATTGGGCTTTTTACCTTCCCTTCAGTATGTCCAATTTTCCTGCTTCTTCCAAGTCTGGCTGACCCCTGGCATCTTCCTGTCATCTCTTTTTCTTTATTCTCCTGAGTCTAAATTTCTCCTCCTATTTACTCTCCCTGCCTGCACGTCCCTCCTATACTTCCTCCCTTGCTATCGGCCATTCAGCTTTTTTTATTAGACCTCATAGGTGCCTTAGGCAGACAAGGTAAAACAGCAACACAGCTTTACATAGTTAGACAAATGCAACATGGGAGCTGGAGAAATGGCTCAGTGATTAAGAGAACCCAGGTTCAAGTCCCAGCACCCACGTGGCAGCTCACAACTGTCTGTAACTCCAAAGTCTGACACCCTCACACAGACATATATGCAGGCCAAACACCAATGTACATAAGATAAAAAGAAATTCTAAAAAAACAAACAAACAAACAAAAAAACGCAACACATCTTTGCGTAGTTAAATATTCCACAACAATGACCTTGCAGATCTGATTTTCTGAACTCTTCTCCCTCCACAGGCAGGGATTACAGAGATATACCACCTGGCGTGGTTTATGCACTATTAGTGACCAAACCCGGGGGTTGGCGGATGCTAGAGGCACTGTACCAATTGAGTTGTATCCCCAGCCACTTTCGGGTTTCTTATCCCTCAGTGGTGGTGAATATGAAGCCATGCCATAGTCTCTGTAAGTGTAGGTGAAAACAGAAATGGGGTGGAGAGATGGTAAAGAGCACTGGCTGCTCTTGTAGAGGAGCTGGGATTAGTTCCCAGCACCCGCTTGGAAGCTCACTACTGTCTGTTACTCTAGTTCCAAGGGATCCAATGCCCTTATCTGGCTTCCATGACCATCAGGCACATACGTGTATGCAGGCAAAACACTTGCAGACTGTCTTAGGGCTACTATTGCTGTCACCATGAGCAGAGCAGCTTAGCAAGCAAAGGGTTTATCTGGCTTACACATCCATGCCACTCTTCATCAGTGAAGGAAGTCAGGACAGGAACTCGAGCAGGGCAGGAACCTGGAGGCAGAGGCCACGGAGAAGCGCTGCTTCCTTATAGAACCCAGGACCACCAGCCCAAGGGTGGCATCACACACAATGGGTTGGTCCCACCCCAAACGATCACTAGTTAAGAAAATGCTCTACAGCTGGATCTTGAGGCATTTTCTCAATTGAAGTTCAAGCCTCCTTTTAGATAACCTTAGCTTGTTAAGTTGATATAAAACTAGCCAGTCCACACATACGTAATAAAAATAAAAATTTTAAAATAGTGATAAGGGAAGGGAGTTTAACTCAAAGGTAGAGCACATGCAGGTATGAAGTAGACCTTGATGAGAAAGAGAAGAATGGCGAGATCTCAGTACTGTTCTACACGCCTTACCTGTGATGGTTCAACAACCCATTGACACCAAGTGTGTTGTTACGCTTATTCGACAGCTAGGAAAACCATTTCAGAGCCGGGCGGTGGTGGCGCACTCCTTTAATTCCCACCACTTGGGAGGCAGAGATAGGCAGATCTCTGTGAGTTCGAGGCCAGCCTGGTCTAGGACAGCCAGGACTCTACAGAGAAACCCTGTCTTGAAAAACCAAACCCCCCTCAAAAAAAAAGAAAGGAAGAAAGAAAGAAAGGAAGAAAGAAAGACAGACAATCCAATAACTGACTTGTCTGGCTGGCAAAATGTGGGAAACCAAAACCTCCACCCAGCTTAATCTAGTGCTCAAACTCAACGTCTGACATAGCTAATATTTTTTTTACTGAAGAGACGTTAACCTACTAGCATCCGAACATGTTTGCCCTGAGTCTAATCCTGGGGAAACAGACAACACCAAATAGAGACACATCCTTCAAAACAACTGGCCTGAAGTCTTCCAAAAGGTCAGTGTTGTGAAACACGCACAAACACCCAAGTGGAGTCAGTTAGGCAAGTGCCTTAGATTAAGAGAGAAAACAAAGATACACCTACTGAGTCCAGCGTGTATCCTTTGAGGGGATCTCACTCCGTTTCCCACCAAAATGCTATCAAAGCTATTCCTGGGAGCACCTGGAGACATAGGTGTAGATTGCACAGCATCAATGTTAAATTTCTTTTTTTTTTCTTTTTCTTTTTTTTTGGTTTTTTTTTTTTTTTTTTTGGTTTTTTGAGACAGGGTTTCTCTGTAGCTTTGGTGCCTCTCCCGGAACTAGCTCTTGTAGACCAGGCTGGTCTCGAACTCACAGAGATCCGCCTGCCTCTGCCTCCTGAGTACTGGGATTAAAGGCGTGCGCCACCACCACCTGGCTAATGTTAAATTTTGCATTGTGGTTGTACAAGGCAATGTCCTCAAGATATACTCCGTATTGTATACAACAAAGTAGATGGATGTCGTTCCGTGGCTCAGAAGCCGGGCACGGTGGTGCACACCTGTAATCTCAGCACTCAGGAGGCTGAGGCACGACAGTCGCAAGTTTGAGGGCAGCCCTGGCTATATAGAATGACCATGTGTCAATAAACAAACTGACACAGATGTTGAACAAAACGTAAGAGAGGGAGAGAGACACAATAACTAAATATAATACACGATTCTTGATTGGCTACAGGACACTTCTGGTGTAATGTAGCAGGTCCACGAGCTAATGAGATGACTCTGTGGGTAAAATTATTTTCTGCCAAACCTGAGGACCCGAGTTCAATCCCCAGAACCCACATTAGATGGAAGGAGAGAACTGACTTCTGCAAATTGTCCTCCGACGACATGCACATAAATAAATAAAATAAATGCAAAAGTAGTTCTTTAATTTGGGGATTGAAGAGATAGTTCAGCAGTTAAGAGCACTGGCTGTTTTTCCAGAGGACCCAGGTTTGTTCCCCAGCACCCCCACGTGATGGCTCACAACCTTCTATAACTCCAGTTCCAGAGGCTCTGACTCCCTCTTCTGTACCCCTCCAAGGCTGTTGGAACCGTCTGGAGTCCTGGCCTCCAGCTGCTCTCCCCTGCTAGTGACCTTTACTTGGCCTTCTGATTTGTGCTGCCGAAAGCTGTGTCCAGCTCTGCTTCCTGAGCACGTGTTGCCTTTGTCGTTGATTGAGGATCAGGAGATGAAGTTTTCACCTGCTGGCCCACCTGACTGTGTTGGGTATATAAGCCTCCGTGGTGCTATTCAATAAAGGGCTTCTTACCAGTGACTAGAGGTGTGTGTCTCGTGTGTCTTTGTGCATTTCCATCTCCAGCCCCTTGCCCGAGGCTCACGAATGGTTCTATAGTGCAGGCGCTGCAATAAAGGAGGAGTACCATATTGTCGGACGCTACACAAGGCCACCAAGCACACCTGTGATATTTATATTACATATATACGCCAGCAAAATATGGATACATGTAAAAGTCAATGAAATGTCAAGTAGAGGCTTTAAAACATGCTATTTGGTTGCAGGGCGGTAGTGGCGCACACCTCTAATCCCAGCACTGGAGGTGGGGGCAGAGGCAGGCAGATCTCTATGAGTTTGAAGCCAGCCTGGTCTACAAAGCAAGTACCAAGACAGCTAGGACTGCTACACAGAGAAATCCTGTCTCGAAAAACTAAGAAAAAAACAAACGAAAGAGGAGAATATTTTTGTGGAGGCCCAAAAATGTGAACCTATTTCTACCTTGTCTGAAGGCCAGAGAGTTTCAGCCTGCTCAAAATTGTTAACAAGTGTGACGACACAGGCCGATCTAGGGTGTGGCTACGTGGTGTTTTGGACATTAAGATGGCCCATAGAGGTCTATTCTTTCTACCCCGACCAGGGTCAGAGAATTCAAGCATACTTCTGCTCCTTCTTTTGAATTAATAGGCTTGACCTAGGGTGTAGCTGCCTTCAGGATACTTGGACTAGGGTGGGTTCACTGCCTAAACAGCATTAATGACTTGATGTCTCAAGTATTGAGGAAAGTAACTGTTCTGGTTGTCCTTTGTATCACGTTAAAGCAGTCTTTTGCCACCCCTTCCCACCCCC